TGTCCTTGGAGTCGACCTCGACCTTGCCCGTCGCCAGCAGCAGCTCGACCACCGCCTCGTGCCCGTTCCCCGCCGCCCACGACAGCGGCGTCCGACGAAAGGAATCCTTCGACTCGACGTCGATACCATCTTCAAGTAAGGTTTTCATTATTGCGTCTAGTCCAAAATATGCCGTAAGATGAGCTCCTCTTATGTGCTTTGCTACTCTTTGACTGTACAAACCATCATATGCATACCGTTTCCGAGCGAGCATAGCCTGGCTCGACCCTTCAACCTTTGTGTTGCACTTTAGAAAGCGTATGACTTCCTCCAAAGCTTCGCGAGCATGAAGTCCCCAGTTGTTTGCGGCGTAGTGATAGAACGGATTTGACCGCAGGCGTTCCTCAAACTCGTCGTTTGTTTGACAGAACCCGCTCTTAAATTCATCAAATGAGAGGTAGGTAACGCAAAGAGTCGTAATGTTAGATTCTGCATCTGGAAACCAAGTTTCTTTGGTTCTGTCGAAGTAATCCCGTGTTGTCTTGTGAATCAAATCGATGGTTTCGCTCTTTTCATCGAGTCTCACTAGTCCGGCGCACATAGAGAGTAGTCTTCTGACTCCGAGACGGTAGCGTTTGTTCAGCGTTGACTGAGATGGCTCAATAGCAAGGGCGTCTAGGAGCTCTTCAACGTTGAGTTGCCGTTTGGCATGAAAAAGCCATTTTAGAGTCTCTATTGCGTGTCGTATGCGGCTTGGCTCCTGGCTCGTGACTCTCTTCATTGATTGTTCGTAAGCCTCGTCTAATTTGTTTTCGCCCTTGGCAAGATCTTTCAGAGCATCCTCAACCTCTTTTACTGTTTCCTGACTTTGGAGTGCATTCATATTTAGGGTCGCAAGCAGAAACCTGTAATCAGTGCTTAGTTGTGTTTAGAAAAGTTTATGAATCCAACTTACATTCCGTCAGCTGCTCTCGTTATTTCTGTCTTGATCATGTTTCGAATGCTGCTCAAATCACTTTCGTGTGATTTTTCCCATAACGATATCTGGTCGTCCAGGTATGTTTTCATATCTTCGTCTGTAGCGATAATTTCCCGTACAATGCTCTTGCTGAATTTAGTCTGAACCTCTTCGGGTCGAGAAGTTGCAAAGATATTTACTCTAGCATTGGTTTGAAGGGTGAAAATTTGTTCCAGGAAGTCGTCTCGGCACCCGAGGTGGTTTTGGCATTCGTCTAGCGCATCGATGATAATGAAAGATCTTGAACCTAGAGAAATGATGGACCGTAAAACCGTTGAGATTTCTGTTAGTTCTGGCCGTGATTGCTTGGCCTTGTGTTGATCGTATAGGTCTACGACAATTTTGGGCAAAGGAAACTGCTTGCGTACTAATTGTTTCAGAGTACTTCCTAACAAGCCTTCGAGTGTTTGTTGGTCTTGTTGATTGACTTTGCAATACAGGTATGCAACGTTGGAGTTCTCATAGTTGGTCTGGAGATAGTCGATAACAATGGACGTAATAAACGTCTTCCCCGATCCAGGAATCCCTGGACAGAACAATGTCTGTTTATCGGTTTTCAACCAAGCTTGAAATTGTGCCGAGTCTAGAAACCATTGGCCCGTTCCGTGTTGTTGTCTACTATGATAGTAGTTCTGATCGGGAGAGTAGTCAATTGTTGTGAGCCACTCAAGGACTGTGTCATGCTCTGTTGCTAAAGCTTGTCGTTTGATAACTGTGAATTTCTTAGAAACTGAAGCACAATAATCATTATTTTTCGGTTTTGTCCGACGCGTATGAATACAGCAGGCCCATATTCAGGAGGGCAAGAAAGTAGTAAGATAAAGAAGTAAATTCTTCATTGAGTGTAGAATGCTACTCTCATCTTTCTCGTTATATAACTCCTCGCTTACACATACACCAATCATCTATTTTAAGCTTAATGTTACACACCTTCTTTAGTATCGTGGAGGGCATTACCCATTTGGCTTATATTTTCCCCAACTGTAACTTATCGTCAGCTGTGCTCCGGAAGCCAATTATGCTTCTCCCACTCACGTTTATCCATTGTTTCTTTCATACTCGTCGTTTCCTCCACGTCATGACCATAGACCTTGAGAAGAATAGCCTTGCTATAGGCTGCAGCGACGGCCGCGGCATAGTGATGCCACCCATCTTGCTTATGAGTATCAGCGTAGTCACATATTCCTCGGACTACTAAGCAAGGAATTTCGTCCATAATGCCAGCTGCTTCCATTTCGTAGCAGAGTGCGCCGTCATGGGCCCGGCGCAGACGATCCCGATCCTCAGGATTCTTGACAACACCGCTGCCTGAGAGTATAAGGCCCCGATGAACCGTAGGTTGCCCAGGCTCACGTTTGGCGCGGAACACGATCTTCTTTTCGCTGGATGCTTCACATTCACCACAATCACCTCCTTTATTGACATGTTGAAACGTTGCATCAAAGAGAATGTCGCCTCCGCTTGGTCGTACATACCGCGGCTGCTTAGTGATGTTTCTCAGGATCTTCTTGAGTGGCGTCCTGTTCATCATTTCGTCCTCTTCCAAGGAACCATCTGCGCTAACCAAGATCGGTGGAGGCTTATCGAGCGACCCTTTCAGGATGAATGTTCCATCTGACTCGTACTTGCCGAAATCATATTGAATTACGCCAGGATGATTTTCATGGGGGTTGCTGACGGCGATATCGCCTAGACGGATGTCATGCTTGGGAAGGCTAGGGATACCGGCCCCGATGCCGACCATCAAGGCAAATCGAACGTTTGGAAATTGCTGGCAAACGGTCGCGGCGCATTGGGCAGCCTTCACGGTCCCCATTTTATGAGGTCGCGCTATGACGACCTTATGATCTCCAATCCGGCCGAACGAATAAACGTATCTTCTTGGACCGATGGTCTTTGGACGGCATTCGAATTCTTCATCTAGGCTGTACTTGACAGCGACGGATTCGTATGAGAGAGCACAGAATATGGCCACTGTTATATCCTCAGGAAGGATCTCCTTGAATTTCTCCAGGTCGGATTCCTCGTCCGTGTCATTTCTCTGAGGGGTTGGGCTGGATTGCGTTGCTTGCATAGGAATTTCTTCTTGTTGGGCCATCTCGCATAGTATATTTATCTGTGTCACCAGTCGAGTACGGCGGTGGTTTGATAGTCACCAAGGATAAACGGTGAGACTTGAGTTTAAGGGGAAAGAAAGAGACTCAAGTAGAAGTGGAAGAAAAAGTGGATGTCTTGATGCCTAATGGCGGCCAAACCGGAGCGGCGTGAGTGTTGCGGAACGGGCCGAAGCTCATTAGTGAGGTCGGAAAAACTCACAAGAGGGGTATGAGCTTTCTTAACTGCTCAGAGCCTGAAGGTGGCTGCTGTTGCCTGAGCGAGGCACGCTGCTGAGCCCCGCCAGCGCCGCACACCTGCAGTTTTTGCTTTTGCGGCCATGAATATTTGTCAGTGGGCTGCATGATGCTGTTTTCGTCTCACCGGAAGACTCACACGACTACGTCAACAATACAAGCGCTAGCAGCCAGTAGCTGAAAGAGCTGGAACTCGTAAGTGCGGCATATACCGCCTTTCACTGATAGGCTGATGGAGGTGGGTTGCTCCCTGGAAGAACAGGGACGGCGCCGACCCGCTTAGGCCACCCTCTTGTGAGGCGGCGAATTCTGTCGGTATTTTCAGAGAGTTGAGTTGGTTGACCGGAGGCATGGCTAAGGTTGAGTTGGATCGCAAAGCTGCAGGGCTGAGGTCGGCCCGCTTGCCAAGACTGCGCACAGCCACAGGTCTAACAACCACTGTAAGTAAATTACACAGTGATGATTACGTAGGCTGTTTCGCACTAGCCGGCGTGGCGACTTTGAATGAATTTGCGTGCGATAGCAGCCACTAGGCTGATGACGATTTCCCAGTATGATAGTGAGGCTCTGAGGCTCGGATAAGACCCTTTTATGAGCATCAGAAGTGATAAGAGCTCGATAGTGGTGCTGTGGTGAAGGAATTCTGTTACGCCATGAAAGGATGCTCTCTGCAAATCAGGCGCGAAGGCGACGATGCGACCGTAATTTTCTAGTGGGAGAGGTCCCGAGTGTTCAGGAGTGGCCACAGCAAACGACTTATACAGAACTGTGGGATATATTGATGTGTGCACAGATTCTGAGTTGCTTGAAGTCATCGTTTTTCTCGGCACGGGGGGTTTCTCGCCACGCCGGGATAGACGTTAGTTTCTTTATACTTGTTGGCAGTACCGCCCGACTCTTTGAAGGCCTCGCAGACCTTGACCATGACCCGGATGCCCACGACTATATCTCCAGCGGACCACCCAAACGCGACGACCATGATTCGGAAAGGGAAAGAAGCTCTTACTAACAAACCAGCGCGAATTTTGCAGCACTCAAGGACGACAAGTCTGAACTGGACGTTTCTTCGACGGCTGCGAGAAGACTCAGTTGTTCCATGAAGGCTGTGCAAGACTGAGATCTGCCTGCAGACGCCTCCTGCAGCTGGGGACCTATCACGCATCTCTTCGAGTGCGACACGTAGTAGCATGCACCTTCAAGGCAGCCATCATCAATTCGAATAAGATATATCATTGACCCATGAGGCTCGCACATCGAAGACAGAGAAGCCTCATATGTCTTCACCAGGATCCGCACGCTTGAATATCAGACAGAAGTCAACAATCGAGTTCCATTGCGCCCATCTCCCCGTATATACAATACCATCCACCCTTCATTCCCCTCACCCGAAATGCGTCAGCTGCTCCGCCCCAGGTATCTCCTTCGCATACCCCAAGCGATCCTTCGTATAGAACTCGACCTTGATGTCATGATCCTTCGCGCCGCCATCCAGGCACCCGCTCTTGACGCACGCGACGTCGGGCATGATCTCGAGCTCCGTGTACAGCGACGAGCCGCAGTTGCCGCAGAAGAAGTGTTTGTTGACTTTCCCCGACGCGCCGATGGCGTCGTAGGTCTTGGGCGTGCCCTTGGTGACGGTGAAGTTTTTGCGCGGGACGACAACGTTGGCCGTGTAGGGGCCGCCGGTCCATTTTTGGCAGTCGGTGCAGTCTGTCGGGGTGTGGTGGTTAGTAGGGGAAAGGATGGGATGAGTATATGTGATTGGGGGAATGACTAACGGCAGAGGGCAGTGGTCGCGGGTTCGCTGGTGAACTCGTACCCGACTTGCGAGCACATGCAGCTTCCTTTTGTGACCATGACGGGCGAATCAAATGAGGAGTCTCTTTAGCTAGATCGAAAAGATGAAAGTATCAGGGTACTCAGATTGCCGAGAGTGCGAGTACCTAAGTGGGGTGGGGTTTTTATATATAAGTATGTACAACCCTAGACAGGACGTTACCGCTCGTCCCGACCCCTCATTCTGCGAAACAAAGTGGATCTCGCATTCCACTAGGGAACCCCTCACTTCGGTCGCACGGATCGATCGACAATGTTATTTGGAATGGGCCTGACTTGCTTCATGTGGTTTAAAACGGTCGAAGAGCTATTTTGTGGTGTGCTGATTGAGGAGATGGGAGTGGGAATGACGTAGGCAGTATCAGGGTTTGACTAAAATACTGAGGAAAGAGGATGTACTTTCTTTTATTTTACAGTTGGTCTGAAGATTCTTTTGATTTTCTTGGCTTAGTAGGACGGAGGTCGACGACGTGAGTACGGGGGAAGGGATCTTAGAAAAGAAGAGAACAAGGTCAGGTTGTTCATACTAAGACTATTGAGGAAGTAATCGCGAGCGCTCTATCTATCTCCCTTTCGAGTCTTCCACGCACCTGAAATGAACGGTCGACTGTCGCCTGCCCGTTGCAAAGGTTGAAGTATGCCATGAAGACTGTGCGAGGCTGAGATTCGCCTACAGACTCCCCCCATCAGCTGGGACCTATCAAACGTTCTTTCGAAATGCAACATGGAATTGTATAGTGATGGAGTACAGACCATACACATGTGTAGGTGCTTCAATTGTCGTCATGTGTGTACAGTGAAGGCTGCGATGAAGTATTGGTGATGGAGCAAGTGAATGATGAATTTAAGGTGGGAGGTCATGGGCGCTAGTCCTAATCGGTTCGTCGGCCCAAAGCTACCTAGTTTGACCTCGGGAAGTATTCCATCGCAAACCTTACATCAACGAACACACCACCAGCGGAGAGCACCAATGATACGCATCTCGAACAACTATCTTGTGGCTGCCTATCACTTTCCCCCCATAGGGTCCATTCGATTCATACTAGTTGGCGCGATTGACTTCATAGACTCCGAACCTATTCCCCTCTGGATCTCTGAAGTTAGCAAACCATCCATTCTTCCCTTGCTCTGTCTTCGGTAGGCACATAGTGCCTCCAAGTCTCTCAACCTTGGGCTTGGTCTGAAGATGAGCGTGTTAGCGAAGTCCCGATGTCACAGAGTTCTACGAGCTGGATGGGCACGGTCACAGGAGGAGGTTGGAAGAGAGCATTTCACAAGACGGGAGAGGTATACAGTGACGACTCTGAAACGAATGAAAGTCGACGTACCTCCTCAATCGACTCTACGAGGAAGTATGATGTGGTTCCAACGCCATTCTGCTGCTCCTCACGCTTGCAGTCTGCCGGAAGCTTGACGATCCCGCCGCTCAGCCCTGCATTTCGAATCAGTAACAGTATCACAACTCTGGGAAATACTCGGAGACTTACCGGATCCGCCTGAGAAGGAAACCATTGCAATGTCCTCAATCTTGTACTCCTCGGTGTTGGGCTTGAAGTCCCAATTCGGGAATAGAGCGGAATAGAACTCCTATTCGGTGTAGAATGGTCAGCTTGAGAAATGTCTCCACTGCATGATTTGGAAAAGAAGTTCCGGTCAATAGGTCGAATATCATACCTTGAGCTTCGGGACGTCATGAGCGAGGAATTCGACCCAGCACAGGGCGCCTTCTCTAGGCATGCTGACCGCTTGATGCTCGGAAGACATCTTGTTCGAGGTAAAGAACTATGTCTCGAGGCGTGCAATTTATGTTTAAAGATGACTTTCGACTCAAGCTGGGGTTCTTCAATTTTCAAAAATTTTCGATCCGGCCGCTTTGTCTCTCACTGCCCGCATGCCATCCCCACCTCTTTATATATCACCTGTCTCCTTCGTATTTCGTCTTCCAAGAGCCAGATAAGTAATCATAAAGGCCTCTCCGCACCCATTCTCTCCAATAGCGGCGTCAACACCGATTGAGGCGCGTATATTCGCAGGAGATTGGACGTGTGGGGCCCTTGACCGATGCTTTCGGGCAGACAATGACTCAACACGAACGCGGCGCGATGTCGCCTGATGCCGCGATCCCGCGCATGAATACGAGGACGCGTTCAGCTGGCGTGACTGGGGTGCAGAAGCTCCATGCAACGCAAATTCTCGGCGGGCGGGGTAAGCGCTGTGGCTTGACTGAATGAATTGACTAGGAAAAAAAAGAAAGCTCTTGCAAGGTGAGTGAAATAACTTGTGGACACTTGGTACCGTGCTTAGGCTCCAACGCCTCCTCGCATGCCTGCATTATTTTTACTTCGCCGGGGAAGATCGGCACGAAACTAAGGCAAGCTTTCAGAAGACTGAGAGACTGAAACATGCTGCTTATTCGGAGGACTGTTAGGAATATGGGCCAGATATCTACAACGGGAGCATCGCCAACTCATATTATCAATCCACTCCTCTCGTCAATCGATATTTCTCGCCTCAAACAAGCACTATCTCCTTCCTAGGGAATAATTCAAGCCAAAACGGGTCAGGCGGCAGTCCAAGATCAAACACACTAACCATCCCCACCCGCCGAAACGTTCGTTCAGCTCTCCTATCACTAACGCCAAGATTCACCTCTTCAAGCATCAGCAAGCAAATCTCCGTGGTAAACACCACCCCAGTCCTCTCCCTATTCACCCTCGCAACCACCGGCACCAAGAACACCGCAGCGAGGCTCACACCATCGCGCTCTACCCGCGGCACATCCAGGCACAAACTCTGGCCGCAGCGCGTCCACCGGAAACGGAGCCAGTCCGGCTCCGCATCATCGAGCTGGACGTTGCCGTTCACGACGGATGCGGACAGGACGACACCGTCGAGCTTCACGAACCCACCGGTAACCTGTCCCAACGCCGCATCGTCCGCTGCCAACTCCACCCCGGCGTCTACAAGGTCCGCAAAGGGCGTGATCACATCCCGCGGCGCGAGATGGAACCTTCGCATCGTCACTGCGCCATCCACCGCCGCCCACGACCACGACGGCGCGCGGTATGCCTCCGGCCTCGCATGGTGCTCTTGCGGCGTCTGAGCAGCCGACCAGCACAGTCCCACGAGGAGGTCGCCGCGCCACAGCCCAGCGAGATACTCGTCGCCGCCTAGATGCGTCTGTACGACGCGCGCGACACCAGACAGCGCGACCAGCTTGTCGGCGGCGTACGTAAGGCTGCGCTCGCTGAAGTCGCGCACGATGTTCGCCCACGTGAGGTGCCACGGGTGCGCGGCGCTCCACGGCGTCGGCGCGCCCGCATCGCCGAATCCAAGGGAGGCGGAAAACGCGTGCGAGACAGAGCGCTTGTCCAGCAAGGGGATGGGGTCGAGGCCGGCAGGGGCGAGTTCGGTGGCCGAGTGCGTCTCGCACTCCCAGAAGAGCCCGTCGTGGGTGAAGTGCAGCAGCCTCGGCGAGAGAATTTCCTCTTGCAGGACCCAGCCGCGGCGGCGGAGGGGGCTTTCGCGCGCGACGAAGCGCTGGCTGTTAGGGTTGGCGTTTGCGATGACGAGGCGGCGGGTGGGGAGTTGGGGGAAGGGGCTGGAAGGGAGTGAGATGTGGCGGCGTGTGCGGTCTCTGAAGCAGCCGTCGAAGGCATGCGAGGCGGCTGAGGCGGAGATGGTTAGGGTGGAGTTTTGGTAGACCTGTGCCATTAGCGAGGCTTCGGTGGCCCAGTCGGTGGCGGAATCTTGCAGGATGCAGAGGCTGTCGATCCAGATGTAGCGGTAGCCCAGCTCGAAAGTGATGAGGATGGCGTCTTGGAAGTTCTGGGGAAGGGTTTCGAAAGGGATGCTGGTTTGCATTTGGTCCAGGTTTGCAGTCGTCAGTGTGGTGAATGGTTTTTTCCCCCAGGAATGGCTGAGAGTTAGGTATAGAGGCGTTTGGTCTAGGGAGGAGGAAATACAAAGGCGCGCTTTCCGCGGATCAGACACCTCGATAAGCCTCGTTGGGAGTAGGCCTTTGACTACCGACGTCGACCTGCGACAAGTATCATGGCCCTGCAAGCATCTCTGGAGCCAGGTTTTTGCGAGGGAGAAGCTCTCCGGTGATGAGGTTGAGGGCCCGAGATTCTCGAGAAGGGCGTAATCAGCTTCTATCCTCTCACCTCATCAATTCTAAAGCCCTATACTGATCGTATTGCTCTTACCATTGAAAGTAAGCAGAGATAGGATCACCACTGTGTCCACGAGATGGTGTTCTAGCCGCTTCAAGCCAACGTGCATAAGCAACTCCCGGTGGCCATCTTCAGCGCCATCCGCTCGATATGCTGACGACTCTTCGAGCTTGATATGTACAGATCTCGGGTCGTTGCCGCTTTGGGAGGCAGGGTCGCCCATTTCGTGGAGGATGAGCCCGCAGATTCGACATGGCTGGAGTGGCTCGCTTGCACAGTTTCGCAGTTCCGCGAGCGAAGTGTGATGCGCGTACGGGAAGACGTGTTCATCTGCTATTCTGATTCTGGGTCGGGCTTTGGGTTGTCGCAGGAGGAATTCTCGGCATGAGCTGCAGTACTCGTTGAAGCTGTCCGAGGATAAGACTTGGGTGGGACCTATCCGTCATGAGTGGGAGACTTGCGGCCCGTACGTTCTTGGAGTCACACCCATGAGTTCTCCCTATGTTCGGCGCATGCAGTGAGGAAAAATAGGCCTGAGTCTGGCTATCCGCAAGCATGCTGGCTCATGGATGTAGGAAGTTCGTGGCGCACCTCTCGTCTCGTCTGGGGCTAATTACATAACGTGATATAGGTGCTCAAGAGTGGTACCGTAGAGTTTGTTGAGTGTACAAGGATAGTGGCCACATGCTTGTCGATACGTTCGAGCGTTTAGCACGCTTACGGGAGGCCGGGGCTGTGCTCTTGTCACACTCCAAGGTTTTCAGAGGGGTCTTTACCAGAAACCTGCGTTTGTCTGTAAGAATCTTGCTGAGCGCTTACAAGAATACAAGGTATGTGTTTCGATCCTGCGCATTATTTCTGCATCTTCACTTTGGAGCATTGTCTTCTTTTATATGATATTTCACGCTTGCTTCATTAATCTCTGCACTCTTCGTGTGCAAAATGCAAGATGCCAGCTCCTCGTTTCAGTATTTCATCATGGGCTAGCGGATCGGTTGGCGGAAGAGATTTTGGAGGCGCTTGATGCGAGGGATGGGGTAAAAGCGAAGGGTATAAAGACGGCGTTAGAAGTGTTGTAGTAAGAGACTAAAGTAGCTTTGAACACAATTCATTCGTAGGTGTTTGCCTAATCAAGACGTCTACGCCGGGAAGAGCAAGTTTACAAAAGACGAGACGACCTCCAACTCCAACTATACAAAAGTGTAAACACACGCATTTGCACAAGCTCGGCGTTGCGGGTAACTGAAGCACACTCCTATGTATGCGCACCAGAACCACCAACCGCAACAGTAAACAACTGCGGGTTCCCACTCATCACTGCGCCCGACTGATCGGCACCTCCATCGGGCGTCACGTCATCGTAGGGGAAAGCATACCCCTTTCCATCCAGATTCGCCGCATGCACAACCCTCGAGTAATGGTTCGTGATCGGGTTCTGATAATACTCCGCCTGATCGACTCCATTCGGGAAAGTGTCCGATAACAGCAGCGTGCTGCGATTGAACGCCGCCGACAGCCTCGGAATCACCGTGTTGCGCTCAGCATTCGAACCTGTAGCAAACGGCCCAGTGCTGCAAGTGAAGATGTCGCGAGCGGAGGGCTGCGCGAAAGACCCTGCGGCGCCAAGGCTCAGCTGGTGGTTGGAAATCTTGCCGGATAGGGTGCCGAAGGCGGCTTGGGAGTTGATGTGGATGTCTGCGGTGGAGAATTTAGACCACACGCTCTGGATGTAGGGAGTCCAGTAGGTTTCGAAGGCGTTGGGATTAGTGACGAGAAGGTTGTTAGGGCTGAGAACGCGGAGGGGAGCGCCGTTGTGGCTATAGACTAGCTGGTCCCAGGGCTGGTGGTCTTTGGCAGCCTGGGCTTTGAGGTCGTCGATAACTGTGGTGAGGCCGTTGGAGGGCATGCCGGAGATGTGCTGAGTGCCATTTCCGGTGTCGGTAAGAGTGAGGGAGACGGGAATGCTCACGAAGTCGACGTAGCTGATGTTGGCGAAGAGCTGGGAGTCGTTGTAGGTGAACTCGCAGAAAGCCCACGAGAGGTTGATGTTCGGATCGCTGAAGTTGGTCACGGAGGGCTCCACAATCGCTGGGCCGGGGTTGATTTTGAAGACGAGTGGTGCGTTTACCGAGAACCAGATGCGGCCGCCTGCTATCTTGGGGATATTGACGGTGGTGGTGGATCCTGGAGCTCCAAGACGAATGGCACAGTTCGCGGCGAGCGATGCCCCAGGTGCGGATGGCGATGTGGGATAGTATATCGTTCTGCCATCGGACTCTATGAAAAGCGGGGCGTTGTTCTTGTTGAGAGCCAATCCAGTGATGTAGGCATACACGGTATTTGAAGAAGTTCGATTTTGGAGGGCAATGTTCAGTGTTCCTGAAGCTGCTGCTAAAACTTGCTGGTTCCCGGGGACAGCGCGCTGTACGGGTTGAGGAGAGTCGTCTGACGGGCCATCGGATTGGCGTACGTCATGAGAGCGGGACTGGTTTTTGGATCCCAGCTTCTGGAGGAATTTCTTCATGCTTGGGGTGTCGGAAAGTGTGCTTGAACGTGAAAACCTTACATAGGGAAGTGGTTGAGTATGAAAAGTGTAAACAATGCAAGCATGGCGGCGGCAATGACTATCATGGCAATGTTGAGTAGTCTGCGGGATATGTGGCGATGACGGCGACTCATGACAGACTCCGGATATCCGCGGGCAGTGCGGTGGGGTTCGATTGGGTGCGGATAGAACTAAGCGAGCTAGGGCACTGTGACCCAGACTGCCAGAGTGGAGTAGAGATGAGGTGTACAAAGAACGATGTCGTTGGAGAGAGGTGATGATGTCGAGGAGAGAAGGCGAGTAAGAGAGAGAGGGAGGCCGGGAAGGACGAGATGTGAGACGATGTGCACCTTCCACGGCTCCACAGCTCTTCCTGCCACTGCTTATGATGCCTTGCCGAATCAGAAGGAAGTGTTGAATCCTACCAACTTGACAACTAGTAAAGTTGCAAGGCCACTCCGGACAGCGGCTGAGAGATGGTTTCTACGAAAGTGTATATACATCGCTGGCCCAAGTTTCCATTGGTCCATTGAAGCACTGCACGCACTGGCAAAGCCTACATATAGCTACAAAGGTATGACGAGCCACTGCAGTATAGATAGTTTGAAAAGCCGCGATATATAAATTGGTTCTATTATCCATTGAGAAGTCGCATCCACGCTTAATCCTCATCGATACCTTAAAACCTACCGACTCGGCTGGGCTGTGCTACATAGTCGTTTACAAAGGACAAAGTGCGAACCCCTTAAAATGGCTTCTGAGCCCAGAAAATGTCACTAAATTGGGCGAGTAATTAGTACGTCACGGAACCTCATTCGGACGCGCGGGCTTTGGCTTACACTGGAAAGTAGGTATGAATCTACACACACAATTAGCCACTGAAAAGTCCTCGCAACACCGGAATGCTGCAAGCATACCTTTGGGTTATACATATCATCCTGCGCCTGCTGGATGAACACCTCAAACTCCTCCTGCGACTGCCCAAGAATCTGCGTGAAAATCTTCTGGCTGACACCCTTGAGATTCCCGGCAATATCTTGCTGAAACATAGCGCCGATCTGCTTCTCCTTCTTCCCCTTCGGCCACGGTCCGATTGGCCACTTGATATGCGTTTCCTGCACCTCCGTAAACCCGATTTCCCGCAAGCGGTCTGCGTGCTTCAAGCTCGCAAGCATGTCAATGCCAAACTTCAAGCTCGCTTCATATATATCGACGCTCCACTTGATGATAGCAGAGTTCGGACTAGCCGTTCCGTCATCGCACTTGATGGGCATGTGCAGTTCGTGGAGTTCGACCCAGCCTCCGGGATTCAAGTTGTCGAAAGCTTGCTTCAGAAGGCGATCCCAGTCTTTGATGCCAGAGGTTATGGAACGGGTGTGGATGTAGTCGAATTTCTTCCCAAAGGCCCAGTCGGCACTTGCGTCGTCGACGATGAATTCGGCGTTCTCAGGCACAGCAGTGGGCTGGATGGGCGAGAGATCGGTTCCGACTATCTTGCATTTTGGGTGAGCGTCGGCGAAGTCCATGACCCATGCTGGTGCACACGTTAGATAGTTACGACATTACCGGATGCGGAGTTTTGAAAATACCGCCGGTTCCGCAACCAAGGTCAAGCGCATCGTGGAGAGTTTCGAGATTGAGAGGAGCAAGGTACAGCCTGCCGCTGAGGACTATGTGCCAGATTTTATGCTGAAGCTCTAGGAAACTGTTAGGTAACACATTAGAAGATATTCCTTAGATATGAATTATACCTAGTCGATCTTTTTCTTCCTATGGCACTGCGTTAGCACTCAATATTGGGATAAAAGTGTCACGTACATCGTCATTTGGAATAAAGTATGCTTGGTATCGTCTTAGTAGCAAGGCAAGTGTTCAAGAGGTAAATCATGATGACCTACTGCCAGTTCTGTAGGAATGATACCTTCTCCCATGTTCCCAATTCCCTTGCAACACCGAAGTGGCTAAAGAAGTGGAGACACTTCTAAACGTCAACTACCGAGATTCGCGTTGAAAAGGTCAAGGAAGTCCGCACGAATTGAGTTCGTCCCCAAGCGTCGAATCCTGGTCCTCTGTAGACTGCCCAAACAGGTTCAGCCATGCTTCAAATATATGGGGTAGTATCAGTCTTACATCCACCTCCAATTCCGTCCCTACAAGACTCGAATAATCCAAAAACTCATACTCCCCCGCCGTATTCTGATGCTCGTCGACGACTAGCTGCTCCTCTGCGGATTGTGCAGCGGCTACTGTCTGCGCGATGGCCTGGGGGTCTGGCAGGGCGTGGTCTGCCATGGCAAAACTGGTTCTCTGTTCTGTGTAAGGTGGTACAAGGTCCCGGGAGCCGATTAGATCACTTTTGAGAAACGTCGGTGATGGAGGTACATAGCATGCTCTCACCAAAGCGCCGGGCTATTCTACCCCTCCCTCGGCTCCATATTGCCGACCTTGAGGTCCCCCCGATTCTGTTCAATTCAAATAGAAGCCAGACTAGCAGGTATACCACGTAGGTGAGTTAATTTCATAGAATATCGAAGGCTCGTCTCAAGAGAACTGGCCTTGCGACCGTGAGTACCAGCATGTCACGTGATAAATACGTGAGTGCCAATCAACAAAACGGAGATCTTTCACAATATAAAATCTCTGCCCATGGCTAGGTTTTGGAACCACGAAGGCTCACAACTGGAACCTCATCAAACCTCCCACAACCCGCTCTTCCATGGAATCGGGGGCTCGGGGGGTCAACACTTCTGTTGGATTATTACAATCACCTACAGCAATCACTGCCGGTAGCAAACAGGGCGCTTTCATGTACATAATGTCGCGTTCTGTCAATGTTCAGATGCTACGGCCTGCAAACCAACAACTTCTCTGGGTTCTGGGTAGACTCCCGGATGTCGAACCGGACAGCCTACAATCTAATGGCTTTGAGGAGTGAGAGTGGTGTGTAGAATCGCGCAGAGATCATCGCCATGGAGTTTCTGGAGGACTTGGGTGTGCAACAATAGCAAAGGCCGAGGTTGAATAGAGGAAAAGGTGGGTGGGAATGGTCCGGCGGTGGCGAGCAGTTTTCTAGAGAGATGAAATAGGATATCTATATAAGTAGTAGTACTGGGTTGATAGTACAGCATTACTAAGTATACTCACCGCTTCTCGGTGTGTAGTAGTATCGTGGGGAGATCGACATCATCAGTCAACAAGAAAGCCAACTTCAGGTCCTCTGCCCTGAGTTCAGGTTGAAGTCGCTTTTGAACGCACTCCCAAGCACGCCAGTCCATCATCTACCCATATCCCGAAGTTTGCTCCAAAGATGCTGTTCCAACCATAAGAGATGAGTGCTGCTCGTTTGAAACCTGCACCAACTCTTTGGCGTGGAGGAACGAAAGACTCCTCGAACCCCCCCTCTCATACCCAGAAGAAAGCCCCGTATTTCTTGCGTTGATCCAAAGCCAGGTGATACTCGTAACCTTCTCGACGGGAGAGAGTTCATTCGGACAGGCTACTTGCAATTGCTACCTGCAATGAGGTGGTCGAGCATGTGGTAAGCATGTGAGCGCTGACACTCTCTTCCAAATCTTCTGGCAGAGGGCTATAAATTCGCCGCCAATACGTAGATTTCTGGACAGCAAGGAGGAGCGCGGGGTAGTTTTCAAAAAAAGGAAGTATTGGGAGGATATGGACTGGTGGGTCTTGGGGATTCAACAAGTTCGATGCATCGCTCTTATGTCCTCGGAGGTTTTTGTGCGGATCTTGGTCAACCCAACAACAATCGAGCAATGGTCCGGCGGAGTGGCAGGAGTTGAGTGCAAAAGCGGATGGGCACGCACATCATGGAGTGCTGGGATTTGGGCTGCCTCGGTAGCAATGTGGTGGTGGTGAAAATTAAAGCAACTAAATGATGAGATATCAGGCTCATTTTACCTATGACGGTGCTGAAAATCTCGTGTCGTTGAGAGAACCCAGCGTAGGTACTTACTAAATCAGAGAAGTACTCACAGAGGAGTTGATCCTCATCATCATTCGGCCCAGACGACGGGTCCTCCATGAGGTGGTGATGTGTCTGTTTTTGATCACACCCCAACATACTCCACACTAATTCATTGTTGTCCCAGGCGTCTTTGAAAGCGCCAGGCAGAAGCCATACAGCCATTCGACCCATCGATTTGGTTCCGAACCGAACCCGAGGAGCTTTCCCTGACGAGCAAATCAGTCCTCGCACGCATTTTATAAGTAGGCGAAACCCGAGGTTGCTAGCACCCATCTGGCGTACAGTGAGCCGAGCTTTTTGTCCTTCACCAAAAAGGAAAAGTATCCAAGCATCATTTGTTCTCGAACCTCACAAGCCGTAGATGACCTCAAGTATGCATTCATCATTGATACATTATGGTGTAGGCCCATCTCCACTACACATAGAATATCTCCGTGATCTCCGTCTCGGCTGCGGGTATTGCCAAGATATTGTTGTCGGGTGGTACGTGGACGGTGGTTCAGAGAGGGGAGTCAAATCGTCAGAGCTGCTGAGGCCGAATGCGGAGTTGATGTAGAGCGCCCATGCGTTGACTAGCAATCATATATCAGCAAGACTTTACGCAGGTGTTAGGGAAGATGACTTACGAAACAACTCCCTCTTCTCCTGCTTCCACCACATATCGCCCTCATCCATGCACGCCATAGAGCTCGAGCTCCGTCGGTTTTCGTTCCACTTGGACGCAATTGCTTGTGGTATTGCTGGGCTACTCCGCTGCCTAAAGATGGGCGACCTCGTCGACCCGGGCTTTCTGCTTGTACTCCGGTTGCCTGGCTCGCTCCATCCCATTGGAACGCCCTTCGATTCATCTGATGTGGGCCGGCTCTCTCTCGTTTCTATTCTTTGCTCTATGACTGTGAAGATGTGTATCGATTCAACACTTATTAGGCTATCCGGAGGCGTTGGATGAATCGCTCCGTTGAAATAATCGGATTGGCGATTTCCTCCTACGATGACGTTCAGGTCCTCTCGTTCGTGCTCGTCGCTTCGAACTCGGCAGTGGTTCGCTCGTTTCAGTTTGCTGAGGCCGCTAAGGTCGAAGTCGTCCTCTTCAGACATCTCGGGAGTTGAGCCAGTATTGAAAGTCGTGTTGTTCAGCGTCGTGCCTCCTCCGTATGTAGAGCGATGGGTGCGGGATGAGAGGATTTCAGAGGACCGACGCCATACCTTCGGGAACCAGCGCGCGAGTGGTATACGCAGGGCTGGGAGACAGGCGCAGAAAATCGCGACACTCAACTCGACCCGAGACCAGATGATGAGCCCGTAGCTTTGGTAGGTTGAATCCAAGGATTTAGTGGATAGAATGATGTATGGTATGCGCAGGAGACAAGTGACTGCTGAGAAGCCACCTAGGGCGAAGATAATGATCAGACTCCGCTTTTCAGCTTTCCTGAGTTTCATACTTCTGAAAATTGGCATTGGAATGGCGAGCAGCACGAGATCTGTAGCGACGTTCATACCGACGAAGATAAATTGGACCGTGCCGAGATCATAGCAGTGCTGGCGGGCGTTAACATCCCAGAATCCTTTAACCGGAGTGCATTGAAATGCGAAAAGGAAGCAGAATACGATAGTGAAGACACCAACAAAAACCTGCATGGCGAGACATATCCGCCGAACGAATGATGAGAAGACTCTACGGTACTGGCAAAGGATTGAGAACTTGACGAATGCAAGGCACAGGATGTACGGAGGTTGACTAATGAAAACTGCCTGGATTTTGTTAGCGGTACGACTAATTGAAGCTTCGGTTGTATTACCAAAAGCTGGCTGCGAATATCATCTGGGGAAAGCTGCCAGATGTGTTTGCCACCGCCGAATTTAATCTCTAAAAGGACAATGAGATTAGCAAAGAATTGTTGGTTTTATGATTCCCTTTGGACGCAATCCTCCAGAAAGCTTCTCAGACCTTCAAGCTAAGCAGGACTTACCATAAAACATTGATATTGTTTCGAGAACATTAAACACCTGGTCATTATTAGCAAGCATATGATATGTTTCATCCACAGGCTACTCACCATAGCAACAAAGCAGAAGAGGTCATCCTTCCCGGGTGCCCGTACCATGAAAAAACGAATAGCAAGACGAAAACAGACGAACGTAGTTGACACGGCGAGCAAGACAACTGCAGTAGCAATTGCGACCGTCTCCCTTGACATAGGCATGACTGCGAGAAGTCAAGATCGCTGAGGCTCGAGGCTCGAAAGGTTGCCACGAGAGCGAGGAGTCTCCCCAGGACATGCAGGGCATAATGCTTTGTGGCCATGGAGACCGCCACGGACGGACGTCAGGAGCTTCATGGATGACATCCGTCCGGACTCAACCAACAGGGCGTATGCTCCCCAAAATCTGACCTCAGATCATCACCCACGTTGCGGGCAGGGGGGGATGAGTGATGGGGATTTACTGCGTGGCAGTGATCTTCTGAGAGTTCACTAGTTCAGGAAGTATTGCTTTTCAACAGTTGTGAAGAGATGACGAGAGACTTTTTCTGATATGTCTATCGATCCTACTGGAATAGACATATTGGAGAAATGAAGAGGATGTTTTAGAGTTCCAGGAATGAGAAAGGGCGCCCATACGCTCAGCAGAAAACGGAAAAGTAGACGACTAGAGGGCGCGCCCTTGTATCATTCGGCATGGGATCCAACAGCCTGGATTCCATGTTGAGCCGAAGCTTCCCGGAGTGGGGACTAACACTTTCTTGGTGAAGCCGCCACGAGGCTACAGTGCGGTTGGGTAGTGTACAAGCTGACAGTGTGAGAATGAAGTCCGATATGGCGCAACGGAGGTTGGTGTTTCAGACTGTGAGGCTGAAGACTGAAGGCTGCAGGTTGGACGCGGCCCCACTTTGGATTTTCCGATTGGCGGCTGCGGAAAATTGATCCGCCTAGCGCCAAAATCCAGCTGCAGCTACAAAACCCCGCGCCCCGCCCAAACTTCGTCCTCAAGTCGCCCGTGTCAACACCAACCCGTTGCCACGGTTGCCTCGTGTCGCGCCTCTTCTTCGAGGACTCGCACGCCGTGATCGTCACTAACGCACGCATACTCACGACCGCAGCGAACCTCTGGGCTAATCGTCAATTGTGCCAGTTCAACCAGACAGACCGACAGCGACATCATGTCCGACGCGACGAGACCCTTGCCAGATGGGCTGAGGAGGCTCATGATGGATAGGTAGGCGTTTCATATCGTCTCGCATTCGTTCACTCGCTCACATCTCTCGCCATAGATCTTCCGCTCGTGCTTCCACCACTCCCGCTTCTACCATTCCCGCTTCAATCGCTCCGGCTGTCGAAGAGACCACGACCAGCTCCACTGACGACTCCCACTGCTGCGACACTACCCCTCCTGATCTCGATCCTCACTATCCATTCGTGGGCCCCGAGTCGTTCAATTCAGACATCGACTTTCAAACACATATCGGCTCATCCTACTCGTGGAGTCCGACCGGCGATATTTTCGCGACCGGCTGCCAGTTATGTCGCAAACCCGACTCCAAGGAATGTCGTCAGTGCAAGGCGGTCCGATACTGTGGCACGGGCTGTCAGAAAATCATGTGGCGGAAGGAGCACAAGGAGAACTGTGGCAAGAACTTCGCGGATCGCCTCGAGAGCATCTTAAGGACCGGAGAACCGCTATGGTACTCGAACATCTATCGAGTGTTCGGCTTCTCAAAGGCGACCACGGGAGGCGATGCGGAGCGTCTTCGTCAGCTCTACTTGGAGCTTCTGGATGCCAAGGAACTCAACATCACTACAGAGGACCTGCTCAAGTGGCGTAGCAAGCGCATCATGAAGGAGAAAGTCCAGGCAGCCTGCGAACTGCTTCTCGCGGATCCAGACTGCAAGCCCCGCTTTTCTGCCTGGTTCATCAAGAACACCCACCTCCTCGACGTCGAAACTAAGGAGCATGACGCTCATCTGACGGCTTGGCGTGGCCTTCATTTGCCGAAAGTCCAGAGCCAGCAGCAGTATGCAGCAATCACGAGCGCCTGGACCAACACCGAGGCTCGTTGTTACATGATGTTCTACAAGCTCTTCTACGGCATGGCGCCTGATGTCACCGACGAGACGTACCGCTACTTCGCCTTCTGTGTCTGCAACATGACACAACACCCAAACATTGCGGATCTCGGCAAGCTCTACGTCGACCTGATGAAGAAGTGCAACTTCCGACAATTCGTCCAGGCCATCGACAACAACAGCCAGCACCCCAAGCCCGGCAACGAGCCAGGTCTTGTGACGTTGTTCAAGTCAAAGGGCCTCGGGGGCCCCCTCCAGCGCTTCCCTCACATCGAGACGGTCCTGTTCAGTCGAGAGTTCCACCAGGCCGTGTGGTACCTCAAGCAGTACATCATCTCCAAGGAGGAGAACTTGCGCCCAGACGGCTTCTTTGGATACAAGCGACTGATGCCAGAGGACGCTGACGAGACACTTACGGCCATTTACTACGAGTACCTGGTCAAGAAGGGTAGAGACCCAATGGCGCTCCATGGGGCCTCTGTGGACGATACTCTCTACGAGTGCGTCCACGCTGTGCTGCCAAAGTTGGACCCGAAGTGTGAGGAGTTGATGCGCAATGGGGTCAAGCGCGTACGCGGCGTGGAGACAAAGTTCTGCGGTTGCGTGGACTCTTACCGTTTTTCCGATGAGGACGTCTTCCACCCAATGATCCCGGCCAATCACGGTCTGGTTTTGGGAGAGCTCTGAGCGGACGGAAGCGCTTCTGGTGAGTGGTCTGGGGTGGAAAATTGGTGGAGGAGTGGAGCTGATTTGGGGGCTGCTGGAGATAGGTACCTGGTTCTGACGTGAAATCAGGTAGATAATGCAACCTGTCTCTCAAACATCGTGAATCTGCAATGCGAAATCGTGAACTCGTGAACTCTATTGACTCGACGACGGTTTTGGGGGCCTTGATATCATCTGAAGACACCCCGGCAGGTAGCGTGTTTGAATACGGAGTATGTAAAGGTTCCAAGCGTTTGAATTAGGACTGCTCCAAAAACGTGGTATGAATACTATGTATTTACTCAAGCAGTCAATCACATTAGCTCTAGCATTCATTTTGCGCACCCCGATAGCACTCGAAGACACTCCCGCATGTAGCGGAATAAAATGCAGAGGATGTAAAGGTTTAAAGCCGTTGAATTAGGACTGTTGCAAAGACATCCTGTAGATGCCATCTTATTGCGCGAACTCGCGAATTGCATACACTCCACTGTTCGTGTTGCATACCTTTATACCACCTTAAGACACCTCCACGCCTATCAGGGTTTAGGAACCATAGATGCAAAGTTTTAGAACCTGTGAATTGGAATTTTTCCAATGACATGCTGGAATTGCTGTCTTTTTCTCGTACTTGTAAATCGCATAAGCCTCACCATTCGTTTTGCGTACCCTAATAACCTTCCAAGACTCCCCCGCGCCTACTGCGGTTTACTAACAGTGGATGTAAAGAATTCGAGAGTGTAAATTAGAGCTGCGCGAAACCCTCTCTTGAAAGCTATCCAATTGCTACTACCCCTGAACTAGACTAAGTCCAACGTTCCTTTGCACGCCCTCGTAGCAGGCTGAGCCACCTCACCGTGTATGGAGTTGGAAATCCAGAGATGTCATAGTTCGAAGCCTGTGAATCAGGCCTGTTCTACATCAGCATGGGAATCGCATTCAAAATCTCAAGCGCGTGAAGTGAACTGATCCACTGCACCTTTTGCTCGCCCTGATACAAGGCTCAGCCACCTTAGCATGTATGAATCTCGGAGATCTAAGATGTAACTTTTCTAAGCACGTGAATTAGACGTTCTCCAAAACCATATGTGATTTGCACTCTAACTCTCAACCTCCTAAATCGAGTGACTCCAGCGTTCATTCTGCACGGGCTTGTAATAAGCCGAGTCACCTCTACACGCACTTAAATCTAACCCTTAAGACGTAAAGGTTTTGACCCCTTGAATCAGATCCGATCGAAAAGTTCTCGATACCAGTAATCAGGCTTCATAAGCTAATAAATCTAATGAGTTCATTATTCCTTTTGCACGACCTCATAACACATCAAGATACACCTTGCCTCCTTAACCTACATTCCTCTTCCATCCCTTCTTCCTCCAATCCCCCAGCTCCACCAGCCCCTCAATCTCCGATACCCCTTTGTTCAGCACCTCCCCAACCTCCCCGTCATGCGCCCCAATAACCCAAACATTTGCCCTCTCCGCCATCGCCTTCGTCCTCCACATGGTCTGCACAGCTAATTCTCCATCACCATGCATCCCGCTCTTGCTACCCGGTGGCCTCGCCGTTCTCAACGGCTCCCTGAGCAAGTTGGCGTGGTGGAAGCAGTCACCACCTAATAGTACCCAGTCATCCTCCTCTTTCCCTTTCCCTTTCCCTTTCCCTTTCCCTTTCCCTTCTCCGCCTTCGATCTTCACGCGTACCAGCACCATAACATGGCCCAGCATATGCCCCGGCGCATCAACCAGATAAGCGCTCCCGTCACCAAAAAGGTCGCATGCACGGTCAAACGCTCCTAGAGGCTTCCATCCCAACTCAGGGATCCGTCGCTCCACCCCCTCATACAGCCCATTTTCCACCGCTTCCTTCACGACGCGCCCCCTTTCCCCATCCTCCCCTTCCCCGGGAATTGAAAACTCAACAACCTTCCGCGTCCCATCACTAGACAGATCACTCGCCCACATCGCCGCCTCCGGGGCTTCAGGATACCCCGGCCGCGCCTTCGCCACGCTCCCCGGACCCACCCAGAGTTCCGCGCGCTCTAAGCCGCCGGATTGCGCGCCGTCGCCGAAGTGGTCGAAGTGGAGGTGTGTGAAGAGGACTGCTTTTACGAACTCGGACTGCTTTTACGAACTCGGGCTGCTGGGTGGGAGAGCCGTGGTGCCGTAGCACGTCCACTGGGCTTTTGGGATAGCAGTCGAAGTTCTTGAGCACGTTTTTCTGGAAGAAGGGTGTGGTTTGGGAGAGGTCGGGGCGCATGCCGAGGTCGATGAGGTAGGTGGCGTTGGACGGCGGGTGTGTGAGGAGGAAGGTGTAGACGGGGACGAGGATTTTGGAGTTCGGGGGGTTGGGGGATAGGTAGAGGAGGTGATGGGGGATGGTGAGGGAGCCGGCTTGGAGGATGTGGAGGGTGTTGGTGCTGTTTGTGCGGGACGGGGGAAGGGGTTGCCAGGGGAGGATTGGAGCTTCAGAAGAGGACATGATTGACGTAGGATATAGAAGCTGTTGGAATTTTGTTTATGGTATAAGGATGGGGAGGTTATAAGGAGAGTATGGGAATGGTAAGGTCATGTGACTGCGATTATTTCAAGAAGTAGGAATGTTTTAAAAGAAGTGGTTTTATATAAGGGAGCTGGCGTTTCAAGGAAGAGAGATAGGATTTGCGACGAGTTTGAAAGCGGTGGTTGGTAATAAGTGTGAGAGTGTGGAGGACAAAGCTGACGTCACGCCCTCTACAGCCTCCACAGCCTCCTTTCGTCGACGCTTACACCTACAACATACCGCCATAAGATGGACAGCAACCAACAACGCTGGAACTACTTCTCAGTTGTGCTAACAGTGTCAACTTACTGCAGACTTGCAGCAATGAACCGAGGACATGCTCTCAACGAATGTCTCGATCGTGATGGATGAGATGGAAACGACGTCTGATGATTTAGCTTCAAGCTACACTGAAACTCAGGTCAAACCATCTTCATGAATTCAGTCTTGCACGTCCAAACTGCACTGTTATTGGCTCTCTTGCTTTACTCAGACGCAGCCCCGGAATGACAGCGAGAACGCGAAATCGCTTTCAACGCATCGTCTCTATTCGAGGCTACTGCTCATATAATCGCTCTCTGAATGGAAACGTGCGTCTTACGTTCATTTCGAAGAATGGAAGTCATCATCGCGATGGTTACGCCATCAACGAAGTGCTGGATGCTCCTGGTTGACCCTTCCGGACAGCGCCTGCCAAACCTCCCGTTGGTGATCGATCACCTTCCGATCTCTTGCTGCTATTCCCGATTTTCCTTTCTTATTCTCCAGTCGAATCCTATTCATATCTCGTCGATCCTATCTCAAACCCTCGTGTAACTCTAGGCCTACAGCTCTTGTTACCCTCTACGTCCGGTCTTTCTCCACACCCATTTCATCTATCCAGCAGCGGAATCTTGCATCACCTCCATAGATCGCTATGAAGCCAACATCCATGGGATACGTGGTTATCGGCGTGATGGTCTTTCAAAGTGTTCTGTCCTTTTGTTTCGTCTTCATCAGAATCTGGGCCAGAAAAGTGATTCTCGGTGGCTTCAAAGCGGATGACGCCATTCTTGCCTACTGCTATGTTCGTTCTCTGTCAACTACAAATACTCATTCGTCCAAAGCAACTCATGTTCAGGTGTCTCTTGTCACAATAACAATCCTTTGCAGTTTGGCGTCCTTCCATGGCATGGGCGCACATGCCCACGAGATCCCTCACAATGATCTTATCGACGCTACAAAATACATTATCATAGCGCAGGTGGTCAACTGCTTCAGCCTCGCAAGTTCGAAAGCATGCGTGGCTGGTTTCCTTCTCTATATTGTCAACCATAAAGTGTAGTTGATCCCCCCCACGCTGATGCCCCCGACGTTGCTAAAACAATTGGAGGTAGCCACAAGACGATCCTCTGGGTTTGCACAATCACAGTCGCCATCCCATGCATAATTCTTGGCATTTCTCTCATCACGCATTGCCAGCCCGTGGACTACACATGGGATGCGGATGTCGGAGGCAAATGCTACCTCAACATGGGCCTTTTTGGTGAAATTACTAGCTGTGAGTTAGCTGCATTCTTCTTTCGGATGCAGACCTTCTTAACCCCATGCTGCTAACACTATTCAAAGCCTGGACATGCGTCGCAGACTTTTTCCTCGCTGCATTGCCATGGGTCATTCTTCGAAAATTGAAGATACCACGCCGAGAGAAACTCCTTATCAACCTCTCACTCAGCGCATGCGCATTGTCAGTGACCTACCTCAACTATGAGACTCTATGGTGACACGTTCCGGCGCTGCTAAATGTTCTCCAGCGCCGGAGTCGCCGGCATATTCCGCACAATGAAAGGCAATACACTGTCTGCGCTAGCCGACTATACTTGTAAGCTGATCTCATCCCGGCCTAATTATCGCATCAAACCCTTGAAATCGTCTGCTCATTTCACCTCTGAAACAGTCGAGTCCACCGATCTTGAGTTGTGGAACACCACCGAGCTGACCCTTAGCATCATCTCCGTGTGCGTTCCGGCGCTTCGTACTGTCTATCGCCATTACAATCCCCCGAAGAAGGAGGCCAGGAAATCTATCTCTATCCCTCTGCCCTTGGAGTTCTCCGATCGCTCACGGATTAGCACGGCACTCAAACCCCTCCGGGCTACGACTAGGACCACCATCATTGGCGGGACACCACAGACCATGGGAAACTCCATGGGCACGTACGACTCGACGTTGACGACGGATTCGATGAACAAAGAAGAGGAGGACGAGGAGGAATACACCGGGGAAGGAATCTCGGCGAGGACGACGGTTGCTATTGAATTTGCAGAGCGTGATGTCGCGGATGGAAGTGAGGGGCGGCCGAGGCAGGACTTCCAGAGGAGCTTTGAAGACATCGATTCGGTGGTGCCATGAGCGCTGCTAGGGAGGTCTGATCGTTGATTCGGGATGCCCTTGAGGTCGCTTCTCTGGGGCCATGTAAGTATATCTCGAGATCTTCCGATACCGCCCAGACAATGACCTCCACGCTGAGAAAGGCACAGTGCTGTGATAGAAGTCTACCTACTCCGTTCTGCTTCAGATATATCATATTCATATGATGGTGGCCTGTCAAGCCCTTAGCTGGAAACCTGCGTGCGAAAGCAAGTCACCCATTAACTATTCATATAGACAGTAAAGTGTTCTAGGTAAGCGCGGATTTCATGTACAGTCAGAACTTCCATGCCGATCTATAGGCTCGGTCCTCGATCACCAAACCAAAGTCACTCTGAAAGGAATAAAATCATACCGTCGCAGGTCACTCAACAAGTCACGCTTTCTTCCTAGCCGGGTGCGAGAAATCCCGACCGCCCGTCAAACCATCCCGACCGCCCGTGAATATACTCCGACTGTCCGTGAATCGCGGGCTGAATCACGTTATAGTTTGCGATAGCATTGGTGCATAGTTCACCTCGCGAAGTTGTCTCGATAAAGCTACTACTCACTGGCTCGAGTTTTCGCGTTGCGTTCGCGTTGGTGAGGTAGAGATGCTGCTAGTCCCCATTAGGAAATACTTCACGAGCTTTATGGAAGTCTATGACGATATCTAACCCGCATGTAGTCCACGAATGCTTAAGCGATACAAAGGGTATGAGCTTCTGAGCATCGCTCTCGAGGCTAAAATATATATATTCTTCACGGTCATGCAGATTGCTCTGCGCCAGACACCGAAATTTGCAAAGACGACAAAGAACAATGTCCGCATCGAAGATGAAAATCCTCATATCTGGGGCAGGCATCGCGGGGCCTTGTCTCGCATACTGGCTTGCCAGAACGCATCTTAACGCAGCCGTCACAGTCATGGAACGATCGCCTACTCCGAGGGTGACCGGCCAGTCTATCGACATTCGTGGTCCGGCAATCGAAATCATGAAGAGAATGAATTTGGAAGAGGCTGTTCGCTCCCGGAACACGACAGAAGAAGGCACAATAATTCTGAATGCCTCAGGGAAGCCTTTCGCTCACTTCGAAGGCGGCGATAAAGGTGGCGATACCTTCACTGCCGAATACGAAATACTCCGGGCAGACTTAGTCGGGCTTTTCCTAGACGCCACCGAGAGCTTGAGCAACGTCAAGTACCTTTACGGCGATTCTATCAAATCTCTGGATCAGACAGAGAAGACCGTCAAAGTGACATTCGCCGGGGGATCAAGCGACACATTCGATCTCGTTGTCGCCGCAGACGGGGGCATTTCGAAAACTCGAGACATGATCCTGGACGAACACATCACCAAGAACTGCTACAACTTCCTAGGCCAGTACATTGCGTTCTTTAGCATTCCAAGCCGGCCTACCGATCCAAAGATGTGGCAATGGTACAATCGCCCGAACGGGCTCTGCGTTATGCTACGTCCGCATCGGAACCCTGCTACTGTGGGGGCGTACCTGTGCATTACCACACCAGCACGCGGGCAGCAGGACCCGGCTGTCGAAGCTGCACTGGATGAAGGAGTAGAAGCCCAAAAGCGCATCTTGCACGAGTATCTCGGGAATTTAGGATGGGAAACAAAGCGGGTGTTGGAAGGGATGGATAGCGCTGAAGACTTCTACATGAGCAGGGCTGCGCAGGTGAAGCTTCCAAAATGGACGAACGGACGCGCTCTTGTGTTAGGAGATGCAGCCCATGCAACTTTCGGAGTTGGAACGACCCTAGCAATCGAGAGTGCGTACATTCTAGCTGGAGAGCTGTCGAAAATACAGAGCAGCGAGGATATTCCACGAGCTCTGGAGAGGTTTGAAGAGGTTTATCGCCCACTGTATACGAAGAGTGAAGGGCTTCCACCTTTTTTCCCACAATTCACATTTCCGCAGACAAGTTGGGTGCTGTGGATCAGAGACTCGTTATTGTGGTTTATAAGTAAGACCAAGCTGTACAAGCTTCTCCCGGCTGATGAGGGAAGTGGCCTTGAGCTACCGAGTTACGGCTGGGTCGACATCCACCGAAAGGATGAGTGAGAGCCATATTTGGGATGATTGGCGAATGTTTAGATCTGGATTCCATGATATCTCTGCTGTTTACCTTAGGGGACCTTCCACTCTCCGTGCAATCTACTCAAGAACGTTACTTCTACTACTGTTTTGTCGACTTCAATATGTCGGTCACTCCAGGGCGTGGTAGAAAATTTCGATGAGATTTGAAATGGCCAGGCGCGTAAATCAGACCAGTTTCAGAGCTTGTATTGCGAGGACCTACATTACGCCTACCATGAGAAGAACGTATCTGCAATCCAACTACCAAAGAAAAGACAAACCCATATCCCTGATGCCTTAATTTCGGAGGTGCAAATCCTCCACACACGAGTTCACCGGCGCTCTTATCCTTCCCCTGAACGTCTGCTCCAGTTCATCCGACTTAGCCTCTGCCAGATATGCCTTTACCTTGCCCTTCACTTCCCACTTCCCGCCGTCCCGATCGCCAGTCAACGGACCGCACGGCCACCTCACCGCATCCTTACTCCCAGTATTGTTCCCAAGGTGACGGTCCTCGATAGAGCAGTGTATCGTCTCATTTGTGTCCGTCAAGCTCATCGGTCTTCTATACCCGCTCACCAACGGCAGATTCCTCGATGCCTTATCCACAAGCCAAGCAAAGCCCTTCTCATCACTGCTCGTCTCCCCTTTCTCCGTTCCCCAATACTTTTCCACCTCCTCCGTAAGCGGTAGCTCGAGATCCAACAGATACTCCCGATCAAATGCCAGCAGGCCACGGCTCTCACACTGCGCCACCATCCAGGCGAGCGTGATATCCGACAGCCACCGCTGGCTATACCCACCGCCGACATCCGAATGCTTCCCCGAGAACCAACACTGCGTCATCTCCCGCAACCTCCACGTCTCCTCATCCCCCGCGCCGCCATTCGCCGACGGCGGCACCTTCGGCATCTGCCACAACGTAGGCCTAAACGCATTTCGCGTCTCATCCAACGCCAACGCATGGAACCCATACCGTATCTTCGGCGACAGCTCCGCATTCCTAAACTCCAACCGCTCCGGCTCGATCCCCAACAGCCGCGCGACCCACGTCATCGAGAACCACGTCGGGTCAAACGCAACCGTATCCCACACAGCCACCGCCTCAATCGCCCCCGCCGCCGCAGGCTCTAGCAACCCGTTCTCCGTTAGCGTCTTCAAAAACTGCGCCTGCTTCTCCCCATATGCCTTCTTCTCCGCCTCCGTCGTCCGCGCGTCCGTCTCTTGCTCCTTATAATAGAGATTATACAGCTCCGGAAAACTGTCCATCCCCTTCTTCGTCAGCAGCCCGCACGCAGCGACCAGCCCCGCGACGGCCCGCGCCGTGTACGCGCCGCGCGAGAAGCCGACGAAGTAGATGGCGTCGCCGGCGTCATAGTTGTTGGCGAGGAAGCCGTAGGCTTCGCGCACATTGGCGGAGATGCCGATGCCGGCGGCGCCGCCCAGGAGGCGGGAGAGGGGGGAGGCGCCGACGCCTTTTTGATAGTAGACTATTTGCTGGATGGAAGGGGAGGAGGGGTTGGGTGCGTATTTGCTGAGGGCGCGCGCGAAGCGGGTTACGTTTGTGGGGGCGGCGGTTTGGGAGTCGGAGGTTGAGTCTTGCCACGTGCCTGGGGTGGTGTTAGATGGGGATTTTGAATTTGGAGGGAGAGCGTACCGTCGCAGAGGACGATGAGGCGTTTTTGGCTGCGGTCTTTCAGGGGGGAAGGGGTCTGGGGAGCCATAGTGTCTCAAATAGGATTGTATCTTCAAGCGGTTTTTGGAGCAAATATTTTGAGTAAAAGACTCGGGTACGGAATTACTGTACGAATTTGAGGACTGAATACTGTTTCTGACAACTACCCAAGCATCTCGCTGAAGAGGGGACAACGCGAATAAGAACTCAGAAAGAGACACGCAATGAAACAATTGGAGAGATGACACTCAGCCCTTCAGCCTTCGTCTCACACCGCAGGAGGGCGCGAAGGTTCTTTGAAAAAGCCTTCTCGAAGCCACATGATGACAGGGGGCGCTTTCTCGCCCCGGCTTTCCATTCACAGCTATGCCAATGCCCTTTGGAAGTAGGAAGAGATCTCTCATTGGATGATCAGGTCCCATCTAGACGAGACCTGGATCACACCTCCTTACAGGTCCTTGATGGCAGAGGAGGCAGCTGATGAGGTTCGTTGCCTTGTGCGGGGATGGAGGGTGTGGAGGAGGGACGGGGCCGCGAGCTGAGTGGAGGCGTGCGCGCCACAGGGTGTGCCTTGCTTTCAGCACTTCGTGTCTAAAGAATGGCCTCTAAAAGAGCAAAAAGAGATGGCTTGCAGTCTCGCGCAAGTGTATATGATTCGCCAGAGGCAAAAAAAGGCAAAAAAAAGCAAAAAAAAGAAGTTCTAGATCAGCTATAAGCTGACGGACATTGCACTGTCCGGGAGTCGAACCCGAGCCTCTTGCTTGGAACTAATGTATATTAGTAAGAGGGAATATATTGCACTGGTGAGTTGGGATTCTTACGGCAAGAATCCTACCGCTGGACCAACAGTGCGGATTGATTATTTTGAAGGGTGCAGAAATAATTCGTCCTATAACCCTGTTCAAAACGGTGCCATGCAAGGGCGAGCAGTGAACGTGCCAAATTTCGGCGGGGAGTTAGACTTCGGCAACTCGTTCCGAGGCTGAGCGCGCACCTCATTCACACCTCAAGTCTTCACATTGACCTCCAAATCTTTAAGCCCACAAAGCTACGTCAAGCAACGCGCTATCACTGTACTAACAGTTACATTGTTACCGCACTGGAGAGCTAATTCGCAGCCAGCCGCAAAACCATCGAATCCGAGCCGCTGCTCTGGCCAAACATTTCTGGTCCATACCTTTGTACAAACCAGCCTATGGAGGTCGCCAACATCATTAATTGGCAGCCTGTACACTTATCGCCCCCTCTTCTTCCAGATCGACCATCCCTCCTTCATCGATTTTGGAGAAGTAGAACTTGAGGGACACATTGACTGCGTCTAAGGTTTAGCGCTGGCTCGGTCCCATCTGAAATCCCGAATTTCTCTCTTCCGCTTCCATCCCTCAACAGCTCTACCAATGTTGTACGTTGTATTCAGACTGCTCATCGGGCACTCAACACTTCAGAACCCAATAAAATACCGTCAGCTCGAAGATGCTCCAGAGTCACCTCGAGACATTATCTCACCGTAGGGTAGTTCCAAACTTTCTTCGGAATTTTGAAAACTGAGTATATGAGGCCTCTCCGCGTAGCGACTTTCCGTCCTTGGTCTTATTACGTGACAAAACAATGTGACACGCAGTATTGTGTAGGTAACTGCAAACGTGTATCTGCTTGAGTAAACACTGAACGTCTGTCGCATTGTTTATCAGCACTGCGTATAAATGTGTGTACAATGATAGTGCGTTGAAATACATAGGCTCCCGTACATTTCTTTTCTCATCATTCCCTTCAGATACACAATTAAGGTTCCCAAATCCAAACCTCGTCTCAGGACGCCTTCCAAAACACCTTCCAAAAATCACACCAAACCGTTCCCACCAAGGAGCATCGTCATCTGTAAGTATGCCTTCACAACAAGTACCCTCCAGCGAGAACGAGGCATCTAATTCCGCACCAGCGCAGATCCAGACACCCGTGGACTTGCATCAGTGGCGTACTTTGCACCGACAATCTTTTTTCGGTCTCATTGAGACGTTGCAGAACAACCTACGAATCTCGGACGACTCGTACCGCATGGTCGGCGTCCGTTACCACAAAATCAGCCCAAGCATTCGTGAGTTCGCCGCGATTGACGCAACCGCCAAGACAGAAATCGCTGAAGCATTTGAATCAGCCATCTCGCTAGACGAACTACACCTCTTCGAACCCTTCAGGCGTGCGCAAGATGTTCTCAGACATGCTCGAGCTGCAGGGAATCCAAATCTGGCCCTGGGCCTCACTGAAGAAGGGCTGAATATGGTATTCCAAGGTCAAGCTCAGCAAGAAGAATTCTCCGGTCGCATTGACCGCTTGTCCAATTGGGTAAATGCCCTAGAAGAGACAGACAACGAATGGGCGGGTAATGACGCGGGGCATGCGATGGTTTTAGAGTAGCGCACAGGTGAGCCCCTAGCCCTCCGCGATGAAGAGGTAGTCCAGAAGTGGGTTCGCTCTCTTCCGGAGACTTCCAAGCAACTCCAACTCGGGCGTCCTATGAGCGATATCATTAGGGACCTGTTCTCGATTGGGGATGGGTACATCTCTGAAAATTATGAAGGCTGAGAAGCTCCTGTCTGTCACATCATTGCCCTATCACAGCTACTAATGCTCTCTGAATCGCTGCAGCCATTCTAGCCAAACTGAAGATTGCTAGCAACTCTTTCGAAAGAGTCGCCCCATCAATACATCGTAGCAATTGTCTAGAAGAATTTCAGATCTAACATTCATAGCTTGATGTATCAACCATAGAGACAAATTCTTCACTACAACAAGTTCTGTAAGTACATCATTGAAAGATCCAATCCACAATGCAATGACTAGATTCTAATAGTATTTCGGACCTCAAAACTCATCGCAGCGACTCTGACTTGCTCTCCTCGTGAATGCTGGGGACTCCTAAGGCTCAGCATTCATTGACGAGGACACACATTGTGCATTCACATCAAAATCTTCTTTGTTCACATTTGAGGAGACAATTCACTCGCTACAGCAGCGTTGAAGAGCCTGGAAAATGCAATATCCAGCTTGATCCACTTTCAATGTTTTAGATATATTCCTGTCGACTCTGAAATTCCCTTCCCTTACAACACTCCACTGAAACGCTACCGACACGCCCGTCACCCCTTCTATCAACTTCCCAGCCAAGGAATCTTGAACCCTCATAATCAATCGCATCAACCAGCATGCCACTGCGTTCTGCTACTCAAATATCTGGGGCTGATCCTCCATCAACACCTGAGCTTCAAATATCTCCAAGCCGACCCCCAACCCCCAATGCACCACGTCACGGTCCAAATTCACAGGATTGGCCGACGCCTGAAGGTTTAGAGGATCCTCGGGACTTGGGATCCCCAATTCCCACCAACACTCCTAGGAACGAAGCGGCTGCGATCGCAACTGATTTGAATGCAGAGAACCAGACTACTACCCAAATACAAGTCGTCGAAGACCCTGGCAATACGATCACAGAAGCCCTTGCCGACTTCGGAATCCTCGCTCAAGAAGAGCCGCCCGTGGAAGCCGAGGAAATCGAGCGTCGACGGCTTGCTCGAAGACAACAATCCTTAAACACACTACTCGGCGATTGGGGTATGCAGCTAACGTCGATGGAAGACTCATATCAAGACATCGGCGTCAAATACCATCTAACAACCGACATTGCTCGGAACAAAAGTCTTACTCGAGAGGCTCGAGATGCCCTTTCTGCCGCCTTCTCCGGTCAACCGCGGGCTTTGATGCCCCTCTGGGACAACCATCGCCGCGCCGTTGCACACCACAACATCTTACGTCATGCCCTCAAGGAGCAGGTTGAGGACGAGGGAGTTTACTTCGCGCGGATTGCGAACCTCATGGTGCGAGCCGAGGAGGAGTTGGATACCTTCCATTCTCATATGCAAAAAGTCAACGGACTAGTGCACCGCGTCGAAGACGTCGAAATTGGCCTTGGAACAACCGGTCGCTACCGTCGAATGTACCGCGCCAATGCTAATGCTAGGCGCCTTGCTGGGGGTTACCTCGCAGACCCACGGGTCCACGCATGGGTTAGGGCATTGCCAGAGACCCCGAGGCAATTGGCATTAGGCCTTCCTCTAGCGCAGATCATCCAGGGGGTGTTCACATCTGACGAGACGGAGCAGGTCTCGGGATCAGAGACCTCTGATGATGGTTCAGAGCACGGTTCTGAGCATCATCCTAATGATGATTCCGGAGATAGTTCTGGGCAGCATCACGATGATGAACGTGGTGAGAGCGGCGTCTCGCAGTCTTCTTAGAGCAGTCGCATGCCGCAGACTGATATCAAATGGGGCGGTGATCTAGAGTGAATAGAATCATCCAGAGATTTGATGGACAGGTCTAATGCAGCATTTTAGATATTTCAGATAGTGCTAGACCTAGAATACTCTTGGTTAGATGACCATATCCACATTGTACATTTAGATTGAGCCTTCTATATTCGCTTCTCTGACCTTCATTCACCCTCTACAATGCCGTGAAAAAGTGATTGAGCATTGTATCCCCATGGTGATTCACTCTTAGGCTTGCATATATTTCCTCCTCTCTGCCCACACTTCTCCCTCTCACCACTTTCAACTCAAACTGATACCCACTCCGCTTTGTATCAGCCTTTCAGAAAGCACTCCATTACACCATCAACATCAACCCAAATACTAACTCAACTCAGCAAGCTAGTATGCCGCTTTCTCTAGGGAGCATTACCCCGATCAGCCCCCCAGGGACTCCGGAGAATCAAATGCTCCTAGATCGAGTCTCAAATCCCAATACACCACCTCGACGACGGGTTAGCCGTTTCCCTAGGTCGTTGAGGGACCAAGAGCAGAGGGACCAGGGGCAGAGGGACCAGGAGCAGAGGGACCAGGAGCAGATTCTCGAAGAAGTCCTCAGTCAGGTTCCCGATTATCTGGATGGTGACGCGGCGCTCCACCCATGCAATGACAACCGGGGATTCCAGCCACCAGCATGGCTGCCCCCCGAAGATCCGGAGCGCCCTTGGGAGATGGAACCCCTAGTTCCCACGATACTTCCTCAAAACAGGGTGGCTAACATGGCTGACATGACAATAGGAGCTCGTGCCACTACTACGGCAATCGCACAAAACCCAGCTCGATGGGATCGCGAATACTCCGACTCACTCGGCCGCGCAGCCTTTGAGCTGACAACGCTAGAAGATGCCTACATCAGACTCGGCGTCCAATACCACTACACCACCAATGCGGCTCGAGAAACCTCACTCTCTCGAGCGCAACGCCACACGCTGTCTACTGCGTTCAATGGTCAGCCGCGGTCCACACATCCCCTCTTCGAACCCCACCGCCGTGCCTACGCACTTTATAATGAGGCGCACCATACCCGCCATGAGCGTGGCATTGGCGCAGAACACCGCGCAGAACACCGCGCAGAACATCGCGCAGAACACCGCGCTCGACTCTGCGACCTCATGACGCGAGGGGCCCAGGAGACGCGGGTGTTCACAGAGCAGATTGCCGCGCTCCACCAACTCGTGTCGCTCGTCGAGGATGCTGACGCCCATCTATCAATGGCAGGTCCTAACCCGCCAACACACCGCCATGCGGTTCAGGCTAGGCAGCACCCGGATGAGTATCTCGCGGACCCGCGGATTCGCGCGTGGGTCATGGTGCTGCCGGAGACGGCGAGGCTGCTGGGGCTGGGGCTTCCTCTGGCGCAGGTGATCCAGGGGGTGTTCGGGCCTCAAGATGATGGACGGGAGATGGCGGCTGGGTCTTTTGATGGTGCAGGTGGTCATGTTACTGCACGCCGCCGCAACCTTTCGCCTCCGGTTCGCGCTGAGAACTCCGAGCATAGTCCTACTAACGTGTTCTACATGCATGTGGTGGTTACAAGCGAGTGGTGGCGCTTAATTTTTGGTGCGATTTGGACGTTTTGACACCCCAGCAATCTCAACAACCATAAAGTATTAAATAAGATTATATGAATGCATATAGTATTTAGCTCATTTCAATAGCTAGGCAATAGTTTGGAGTGATGTGTCTCTGTAATTCTATTATATCGTAGATCTTACCCAATGCTAGGGGGCCAAAACTCTACTATAACTAAATGTGGCCATCAAGAGACCCTAAAAATTTGTCTTATAATATTGAAACAGCTATGCATATCTTTATTCTAAGTTATAGATTCAAATCTTTTATAGTTGTTGAGGTTGCTGGGGTGTCAAAACGTCCAAATTGCACCAAAAATTAAGCGCCACCACTCGCTTGTAACCACCACATGCATGTAGAACACGTTACTGACGAGGTCATGGAGTCTGATTCTGACAACATGGCGAACTATAGTTCCGATTATGTCACGGATTCTGATTCTGATGATGTTATAGATTCTCCCTAAAACAGCTTCGCAGCGGGGGACTAGCTCCTGAAGGAGTTGCGAAACTGAGGTGAGAGTGGATTGATATGAAGATCTCCCAGGTAGGCAGGACGCAGCGCTTCAGACATTCTGGATGTTGTCTAGTTTTTTGGTAGGGGCGGATAGTCCACGTTAGGTGGCTACATCTGATTAGAGCATGAAGTCGAAATGATTTATTTGCTCTCTCCTTTCTATTAGAACACAATAAAAAAGCAAGCCCTAACGTCCCTCCCTGCGTGGCGGAAAACCCCCCGTGTCGCAAAATATTCATTGATAAGCATCACAACTCTCTCCCCTACGATTTTCTTAAGTTATAATTATTGTGTAATAATTCTCTGGATATTTGTTCCCAGGAAACTAGCGTCCAGCTAAAAAATACAATGTTTTTGATTATGATGTCGATCATTCCTGCTTACGCATCTTAAACTGCATTCATTCTATACCCCTGCTCTACCATAATTATTTACAAAATTTCAAACTTCGGAGCACTATACTAATAGATTTATATCTAAAAAAGATAACCCAGAGCCTTGTAAATCATATACCCGTTGAAATTATGCATTCCGGAATTTATCCGTCTGAAGGGGGCAACAATGTGTCTTGGCGTTAGAAGTTACGCGCTTACGTAATGCAGTGGCGGATGCTTGGCCAGATGTATTGTATTCTACGCTATGCCAAACTGGCTCTTCGTGTGGCGCTTCAACACGTCACATGCTATCTACTTTGAGCAGCCGAGCGTTCTTTGTTGCCAGCTGTCTCTCGTCCCTTCCCATCACCACAATCATAGAAATAGACCGAGCCAGCCAGGTGCTGGCGCAAAGCCTCCCTTCAGATGTACTTAGGACATATGCTGCCTTAGCCGAACGGGGCAATGTTCCCCTCTCCACACTTCACCATCGTGCTCAACGACGCTCGAGAGAGGAGTTAGTTTGCCCAAAGCCAGCAATACATAGTGCAATCATGAAATTTGGCGTATAAGTCTTTTAGCGAGCGCTCATTCGTCAAACGTGAAAAGGCATACATCTTGTTCATTTATCCGTAACGTAAGTCCCATGCCCAATATTGAAAAGTGAAGTTGCTCATGTTATCCATAACGGTGTCATATTCGATGAAACGTGAAGGATCCCCCGGGACCATATTACTGGCACGTTGTACCAGCATCTTCACTTTCTTTTCCATTTCCGATCCTCTATCATTCGAAATGAACCGCCAGACCCAATGCACCTATGCGCTAAAGACCATGGAAGCCGTAATAGTAACTGCTAACGGTAAGGTGAGGGCTTGTAGGTTGACCGAAGTTGCGGTGGCGAAATGCCAATGCTTGGTGATGACTGCCGAAATGCCGACCACGATGAACACCTATTGTAGCCGATCATTACGGTTGACGTCAAACTGCATCGTAGCCAGATCTACGTAGCCTAGAGCAAAGTATCCCAGCAAAGTGTATTTCAGGGCCTTTTGGACAAATAGTAGTGCAGGAGAGTCTTGGAATACTCGAATAATGAGATCAATACCTATCCAGAAGGATAGTATCCCGACAGAGGGGCGTTCCGATAAACTCGCCGTAATGACGAAGCCTATAACGGGTAATGATGACCAGATCGGCCAGCTCGTGTCAAAAAGGCTGCCGCAGTAGAGCTTGTAGATGTGTAGCGGAATGATGATGACCGCTTGTAGGGATGATAGTATGGCCGTTTCGAGGATTCGTTGGCGATAAGTATAAGGAGAAGCGGGAAGGCGCAGTACGCCAAAGGTTGAGCGCTTGATTGGAGCGGAAATGATGCTGTTAATGTCTGTTTCTTCTGCCAGAGGACTAAGGCTGTCGCCCAAGATTATCGGGATAATTGAGTCTACGCTGATCGAAGTCGTAATGAAAATAATTGGATCGTTCTTTCTTCCGGAGGCCTCGCGCTCTGAGGATAACGAATGGCAGAAAACCGCGGCTGCTTCAGCACACGTAAGGCCTTGAGTACCATTGTTCATGGAATTAGGCGGTTGGGCATCGTAAGCAAACGTGACGATTCTCGCCGGTAGTTTCGCAGCCTTCAATCGCTCGCAGCAATCTTCCTGCCGTTTTCGATGTGTGACTAGCTGGCTAAAAATTACCACGACATCGGCCGCGCTGCTTGGAGGATTCTCAAGAATACGAAGAGAAGAAGATGATGCGCATTTGGTGCCGCTCAACGCAGGGGCGCTGACTGTCGGTGTTAAGTCCATGTTGTTGTAGGGCGCTGATGGTGCTTAACAACAAAGCCAAGGCGTAACGCCGAAAGGGTGGGGTGGGAGAGAAGCGTATTGGAAATGTTGCCTGAGCAAACCGGTCTGTGGGGGTTGATGGCGCCTCGCTCTTGTTTACTGTTATTGTAGCTGCAAGATCCTGTTCACAACGGAGGCGAGATAATGAGGTATGCGCTTCGGAGGCAGCGCCGGGTCTTCGAACGTTGATGATAATGCAATATTGTGGTTGATGTTGATCGCGAAGCTAACATACAGATTGACGTTTTGGTGGGGTTATCACGTGACTGAATTACTGGATAGACTGCAGAGACTTGCGAGCTGGGTTAGTCATCATTGTGGCTACTAAGTGTGGCGGACCATCTGCTGAGTGCTTCGGAGCTGGGTCCTTGCATTCCGAGCTTCCGCAAGCCACTGGCCTTGTAGCCACAAGCTTGGCTTATGGAGTGACATAAGTAAATTACACCGGATGATTATAAAGGACGGCGCGGGGTTGTTTCGCACTAGCTGGGATTGGAAGCTACTCTGATCGGAAGTACCGGCCGGGGTTTGCGACCTTGCACAAACTTGCGCGCGACAGCAGACATAAGGCTAATAATAACTTCCCGATATCGTAATAATGTTCTTAGGCTTAGATAGCACTGTTATAAGTATTACACTACGCATACTACGCATACTACGCATACTGCGCATACTACACACACTACGCATACTACGCATACTA